CTTTCGGGTTTTTTTTTTTTTTTTTTGAGAAGAGTTTAATTTTTTTTTTTCTCATATGAAGGATACTATTGCTAGATATAATAATCTTGGTTGAAACTCTTTCTCTCTTAACACTTTCAATATGTTTTCCCATTCTTTACTTGCTTGTATTATTTCTGTTGAAAGATCCAGAGTTACCCTGATGAGATGACCTTTGTAAGTCACTTCTCGTTTCTCTCTTGCCAATTTTAGTATCTTGTCTTTATCTGTGGTCTTGGCCAGTATGGCTAAGATGGGCCTTGGGGAAGATCTTCGTGGGTTTATTCTACTTGAAGTCGTTTGTATTTCTTGTGCCTGAATGTGTAAGTGCTTCTCTAGACTTGGGACATTTTCTTCCAGGATTTCATAAAATAGATTTTCCATGCCCATATTAGTTTCTTCACCTTCTGGGATACCAATTATTCGATGTTTGGAAGTTTAATGCAATCTAATATCTCTTACATATTATCCTCATGTTTTTTGTTATGTTCTCTATCTTTTTGGTGTTTTTTTTTTCTAGGTCAAAGTTTTATTTTCTATGTCAGACATTCAATATTCGGTATGGTCTAATTGACTTTTAATATTTTTAGAGTGTTTTTGATTTCCTGTATTAGAGACTTCATCTCTAATAGTTCCATCTGATTCTTTCTTAGAGTGTCCATTTCTTTTTTCATTTCCTGGAATGACTTTCTAATATCCTGTAGCTCATTGTCCCTTTTCTGTTCTGATAGAATTTTGTCTCCGTAAATGTTCTACATTTTTTCTATGACATTTTAGTAACGTCTGTTTTTTCAAGAGATGGAGGGAAGTTACTGTGTTCTTTTGATGGAGACATATTTCCTAGTTAATTCAAACCTGAGACTCTTCTTCTAATTCTATCCATGGGGAGAGGTATTCTCTTTTGGATACCTTTTTGGAAAATGGTTTTTTGACTGAGAACAAGTGTGCTTCCTTTTTTTGTATACTGATGTGTGCCGAAGTCTCTCTTTTGCTGTGTTTTGCAATGTGGTCTGCACAGAAGGAGTCTTCTATTTAGGAGTCTGAAGAGTAGTCTTTCCTTTTTCACAAGTGGTTATGGAAAAGGGAGAATCCTAGGGAGCCTCACAATACCAGGGTATTTGAAAATTGTGATTCTGGGTCTGTCTAACCCCTTATGGTGCATGGAGGATTGGCAGGAGATGACAATATAGTGTGAGGTATATGATTTTGACAGGGGTATGGAGATGGAAATGGTCTCTCCTGAAGAGCTGAGTGTAGTCCTGTGGGGTTAAGAGAAAGGGAAATTAACAAAAGAAAGAAAAGTAGAAGGGATAAAAAGGCCTACCTTGCTTACAGAGAGAAAGAGTCACTGTGGTTTGTCCCGGCCTGCGGGACCATGGAACAGGTTCCTTGGGGGAGGGAGTGAGAGATGGGACAAACACACGCACACACACTACCAGGTGCTGGTCAAGTCGTCGTCTTCCGTCTACTTCCATTTATTCAGGACAAATGGCGAGTTATATACAGCTGGTGGGCACCAATTGGCTGCCCGAAATGCAAATGAGATAGAACAGCATTAACCAATCATTGATGTGGGTGGATCTCTCCCGTTGCCTAGAAACTGAACCACTTCCGGGGAGAACGGTTGGTCACATGATTTGAGAAACTATTTGCTCAGTGAGGAAGTGAAGCCTAATGGTTTCAAGATGGCGGATAGCTCGAGATGGCTCCCGTATGCAGTGCTCGCCACAGTGGTTAGGCAACTGAAGCTGGAGTTGGGGCAAGGAGTCCTTGCCTCACTGTCCATTAGGCCAGGGGTCTGTAGATGGAAATGGGAGAGCTGGGGGCAGTTCTGTGGTGTAAGGAGAGGTGGAGAATTCTTTAGTCATATTCTGAAAGAAATTTGTCATTTTCTCCATATATTAATGATCCTCATTTAAACTCATCTCTGTTCAGACAACAGTGTTATCATTCACCTAAATGCCACCTCATCTCACTCACAAGACCTTCAAAGCCTCTCTTCACTGTTTGGACAGGATTTGCTTAAGCAGAAGGAAAAACACGTTCAAAGTTTTCTGAAACCCTAGGAACATTATTCACACTAGTTCTGTGTACCATTGCAAGAGAATCTCTGAATTGGAACCTGGGCCTATAAAGTTATGTCTTTTGGCTTGGCTGAAGAATTTATCCTGAATTGCATGGCCTGACTGTATTTCCTAATACTGTCCCCTCTGTTTAGGTACCAGTGGAAGAACTATAGATATGTATTGGCCTTTTACTTTGCCGTTGAGCAGATCAATAAGAGTCCCCATTTGCTCCCCAACCTCTCCCTGGGTTATAATTTCTACAATGCATTTCCCAGTGACAAAAGAACTTTAGAAAGTGCTCTATTTTTGCTCTCTGGAGAAAATCGGTACTTGCCAAACTACAACTGCTGGATACAGAAACAACTTGTTATTATTGCAGGAAACACGCCAACATTTTCAGCCCAAGTTGGAACCCTATTGGAGCTCTACAAAAGTCCACAGGTAAGTAGGTTGTCAGGTTAAAGAATGAAAGTCAGATACCTCCTAGTGTAATTCTCTTACACTGAGCGAAGAAAACATGGAAGCTGGGTTTACATACCTCTAGAGGCCCTCAGCACTTCTCTTGGTTGTTTGTACACAATTTGCTTAAACAGAGGAAAAAAGGCACAGGTTCTTTCCTGGGTCATGGGACTATTAACAGTAAAAGGATTAGAAAGAAAAAGAACTGTAGTAGGCCAGCTGGTGATAAGGTGGTTAATGTGCCTGGATTTCACTTGGCTGACTGCATGGTGCAAGTCTTGATTTTGGCATCCTGTAGAACCCACTGGGCATATGTACTTGCATGCCCCAAATCCCAACATAGAAAGAATATTGGTATGACCATCCCCTATGAGGAGTGATTTCTCACTGTCCCTCTATCTCTCTGTGGCAAATACACATAATTTAATTTGCCCTATGACAAATTAAAAATAAAAAAGTAGTAAAATTTGTTAAGTTCCCTCCATATTTCTTTCCATAGCCATGACATCTAAACCCCAGTAATGGGAATATTGATGGTTCTCTTAAAGATGCTTTCTAAAAAGTGCCCACAGTAAAGGGAACCATCCGATCTTAGGACAGAACAATATTAAGGGGTGTTCAGAGGACAATTAGGCAGAAAAATATAAAAACCTTTGCATTTATTATCACTTTGGACAAGTAAATAATATCCCAGCACTGGAGATCCTCCAAACTCAGAGAATGGCTCAGTTCTCCCAGGTGAGGTTTACCAGATCCCTCTGCCCTTCCTCACATCCATGCAGGTGGATCTCTTGGAAGCACTTCCAGTTACTCTCAGCATGACAACTTTCCACCTCAGAGGTTCTTCCAGGGAAATTTTCTCATAGAAGTTTCAGGAGACTTTACTTGTAAACATAGCATTAGCATAACATAATTATGTTGTAGAACAAATTATTTTAAAAATATCATAGAGGCTATATGCTTGTGTTTACAAGACAATATGTTTTAAACTGTCTTTATAAGATACAGTATGAAAAACTCAATACATAATTTTTTCTCAGAGTTTAATATTTTAAACTTGGCATGTAGAGAAGGAAGCCTCTGATCCACATTGTCACATTGGCTCAGGAAGGCAAAATCATTATCATCTTGTTGCACAATCTTTATAAATTTTATGCATAACTCAGTTCTCACTGTTGGCAATAAAGCATGTATTGAACCTTATAGTTTTTCTTTCATTCTTTGGTCTTGAAGTGATATTGTTACCTGTACTAGTCACATGTCCTTTCTCAAAAAAACATGAGATTAAAAACAGTCTTCTAATGGTCATATTGACAAAATAGAATAATTTCCACAGAATGTAATCTCTTCACTGAATATTCCATTCTATTGTCTAAACAGGTAGAGAATTAGCTCCTCCTTGATTAAGTGGGAAAAGTTTTAAAAATCACACTAAATTCAGAATCACATTATTTTAACTTTTTAATATACAGATGTGTTTATTATACACATGTGATTACAAGTGTGCTTGCATATAAGTTCATTGGAAATATACACACAGTTATGGGCACATACACTGTGTAGTGTTACAATTCTATATTCTAACTAGGAAAATCGATGGTATGTTACATTCACTTACAAGTACACAAAATGCAAAATACAGTTCATCTTTACAAAAAAGAAGTGCAATTCACACTTTCCAAGGTGAGTGGCTCTGACTGCAAGGAGAACTAGGTCAGAGTAAAATCTTTGAATTCTCTTTTGACTGTCACCAAATAGGCAAAACATTTCCTTTTTAAGGATTTAAAAAAACACTAGTGTGTGAAATGAATTAACTGAATAACATTTAGAAAGTTGCCCACTGACCTCACTGGCCCACTGGCAAATCCAACCTGCCCCCAGAAATGCTCTGGTGCAGTCTGCAATGGGTAAATGGCTAATACAGGATTCCTCCCTTCTCTAGAAACAGAATCAGATCTCTGCATGGGAAAGCCTTTGTAAATTTAAGTTTATTACACATAACATATACCAATTATTTTTTAATCAACTGATGCCCTGCATTTTTATGGTGCACAAGACGCTTGTACATAGGTGACTGATGTACTTGGGAGGCCATATATTTTGCTCAATATTGTATCTACTTTTCACATGCAGAAACTTCAGGGCAGTTAGTTTAATTTAAAAAAATTTTTAAAAGGTTTTTAACTCATTTCCCTTACCGACAAGTTTTATAAATAACCTCTCCCTACCTCTTAATTTTAGTAAAAATTGAAAACAAAGAAAACCTGAGAAGTCTGAATTTTAGTTAAATGACCCCAATCTGGCATGTAATATTGTTTATAACTAAAGTATGAGGTTTTCTTGTTTGTTTATTTTTTTTAAATTCAGGTCACTTATGGTCCTTTTGATCCCATCTAATAAAGAGCAATTTCCATCAGTTTATCAGATGGCCACCAAGGAAAACTCTTCAGCTTATGGAATCATCTGCTATTTGCTGCATTTTGGCTGGACGTGGGTGGCACTCTGTGTAGCTGATGATATGCAAGGGGAGCAGTTCCTTCAGGATGTAAAGGCAAAGATGATAGAAAAGGATATCTGTGTGGACTTTACAGAAAAGCTCCCTGTCACAAAAGGTGTGATTTCAGATCATGACCTTACTCTTGTCAAGAGGATCAGAGTTTCATCTGCAAATGTGTATATAATACATGGTGATGAATGGAGTACTGTTAGCTTGGCATTGGGACACATCTTGAATTTAATTCTGCGAAAGGTATGGATCATGAGAAATCTCTGCTCCTCAGAGTTGGAAGATATTTTGCATGGTTTGAGTGACATGCTATTCTCTTTCCATGGAAGCCTTTTTCTTTCAAAACCAGAAAAGGAATATTCCTGGTTTTAAACAATTTCTCAAGACAGTCAACCCTTCCCAATACCCAGAAGATTTTTATTTCATTAGGCTCTGGGATTATGCTTTTAATTGCTCACTTAGTTGGCCACTGTGTAGCAAACTTGGAGACTGCCCACCAAATTCTTCCATAGAGTTTCTACCATTTAATTTTTACATGTTGAC